GAGAGAAGTGTTTTTTTTTCCCCAAGGGCAGTAGGCGAGGGGATGGAGCGATGGGAAGGTGAACCCCGAGCAAAGGAGGAGCCGGAGGCCCTGGGAGACCCTCGCAGAGGTGAGAGCTGCACCCCAGGGTCCCATCCAAGAGGAGCTTTATCTTTTCCCCTTTCTGCCACACCGTGTTTCTGGTCATTAAGTGATATCATTACTTACTTCTAACCCAGCAGGACATGAGACGGAGAGTGAGAATGAGAAGAGTCTCCAGCAGGAAAGCCCTGAAATGAGCAGCTCATCGTCCATAAACTCAGAAGGAAATTTTTCTGGGAGTTTTCAGCAGAGAAAATTGGGTGTAAAAGCACACGGGCTGCAAGGATACCCAGGGAAGGACGCGAGCACCTTTGTGCATCATGAAGGAAACTGCAAAGTCCTGAAGGAACCCACCACCCCATACAGAGCCGTCGCCCGAGAAAAGAAATATATATGCACCGAGTGCGGGAAAAGGTTCAGGCAGAGCTCAAACCTCATTGTGCACCGAAGGACACACACCGGAGAAAAGCCGTACAAATGCTGCGGGTGTGAGAAGTTCTTCAGTGACAGATCGAACCTTGCGAAGCATCAGCGGCTGCACACCGAGAAAAAGCCCCTGAGGTGCCGTGAGTGCAAGAAAAACTCTGGGAATGACCTGGATTTCCTTGAGCATCAGCAAACGCAGGTGGGGGACAGACTCGTTAGATGCTGCCAGTGTGGGAAAAGGCTCGGGCAGGGCGGGAAGCTCGCTCTGCACCAGGAATTGCACGCGAGGGAAAAAGTCTACAAGTGCCCCAGGTGTGAGAAACGGTTCAAAGACCCGTCCACGCTCATCAGGCATGAGACGCTGCACACAGGTGAGAAGCCCTACAAGTGTCATGAGTGCGAGAAGAGATTCACCCGCAAATCGGACCTTACGGTCCATCAGAGAATCCACACTGGGGAGAAACCCTTCGCTTGCTCTGAGTGCGGGAAAACCTTCAACCATCGGTCGAATCTTTTTACTCATCAGAGGAGGCACACGGGCGAGAAGCCTTTCCCGTGCCAAGAGTGTGGGAAAAACTTTGGCCACAGGGCAGATCTAGTTGTCCACCTAAGGACCCACAGCGGCGAAAAGCCCTACCACTGCTCCGAGTGCGGGAAATACTTCAAGGGTCGTTCCACGCTCATCAGACACGAGAGGTTGCACACGGGGGAGAGACCCTATCAGTGTCCTGAGTGCGGGAAAAGCTTTGGGCTGAGCGGGGACCTTGTTGCCCACCAGCGTTTCCATACAGGGGAAAAACCCTACAAGTGCCCCGAGTGCGGGAAGGTCTTCAGCAACAGCTCCAGCCTCATTAGGCATCAACGACAGCACGCGGGAGAGAAGCCCTACAAGTGCCACGAGTGCGGGAAGAGCTTCGGGCAGAGCACGGACCTCATCGCACATCAGCGAACCCACACCGGGGAGAAGCCCTACCTGTGCCTGGCATGCGGGAAGAGGTTCGGTAGGAAATCCAACCTTATGGTGCACCAGCGAGTGCACGGTGCGGACGGGCTCCGCAAACGCCGGCAGCGTGGGAAAAGCTTTGTGGAGAACACAGCTCTTTCAGTCCGTCACGACATCTTGATGGAGGACAACGCTGCCCCGTGCTCAGCCCCGCTGAGCATCAGCAGTGACACGGAGAAGAAAAAACATTGAATTCCTGGGGAAAAAAAAGAGACAGGATGGAGAAAAAGCTCAAGACCTTCCTCCCTCTAGAAGAAAAAGCACAGAAGAAACAGCCACTGGCATATGGCAAGTGCAGGATCTTTGTGTTCCACATTGGAGTCAGTGGGGGCGGGAGGGGGAGGGAAATACCTGTATATATGTTTTAGAGTAAAACATGAACCTATTTACTAAATAACGTGTCTTTTTGCGAGCACATGGAATGGGCTTGGCATTTGCTGCGTGGCTCCCGTGCATCCCTCTTTAGATGGGCTTTTCCATCACAGAAACGTGGTCCCCAGGCACCTCCTTTGCCTTCTTTCCCCATCCTTGCATCACCTCTGGGCTGAGCCTCTGCTCTTGTCACCATCAGCCAGCGACCATCCCATCTTTATCTCACCACGGTCCTCAGGGAAGTGGGGTTGAATGCATTGTCTGGATGACCCACGCATCCAGCAGGAATAATTCCCCTCCTGTGGGTTGAGATCCCGTGGTGCTCTGTAAAACTGTGCAATGGACATCCAGGGTATGTTAAGTTGTTCTGACATCTCTGACAATCCTCCTGCACCATGTCTGCCTCCATCTCCATCCTCCAGATGTGGCCCAAGGTCTGTGGGATGGTTGTTGTTGACACAGAAGTGTAGATTGTCCAGTGACACCCCCTTGGCTGCGGGCTCCAGCCTGTCCCTTTGCCCATTGTACACAGGCTGGGAACATCAGTGGCCTCGGAGTGACACCGTTGGTGTGGCACTGCCAATGGTCCTGCCGTTAACGGTATCTTCTTTACATCTAGGAGGGCTGCGGCTAGACTGCCCCGTCCTCTTGCTTTGGGCTAGGTGACCCATCGCTAGATGGGATGGTCCCATCACATTGTCAGCTGGTACCCAGGAGATGGGGAGATCCCTACTGGGAAGGTGCCTGGGCTTGCCAAAGACTCCTTTAAGGTCTAGGGTGGCTACAGTGGCAAATAAAAGTAGCCACAAACCTGAATTTGGCCAAGAAGCACTAGTGATATTCTCACTTCTCTATCCAAATCCTAGATAAATGTTTTCTGGACCATCTATCCATTCACGTACATTCAGAAACTCTGTGTGACACGACCCTCACCACCAGTCACAGCCAGGACATTATTAACACAACTCCAACCCAACCATGCGGAGAACAGCATGGAGGAAACCACCCACCATCTTTTTACATTAAAGCAGCACTGTGGTACTACAATTATGGTTTAGATACTGAATTTTGGCTGTCAATGATATATTGACTGGCCCAATGGACCATCTGGGGTCTAAACACCTCCGAGATTGGTGCTGATTTAAGGTCAGAAAGTTATAGGATGGCTACGTCAAAGTAAAAGGTGGAAACCACCACCATTTCCATGGTGTTCCCGCAGATCTTTGCTGTGGTGGCCACCATGGGCAGCTGTGTCTTTGGAGGAAAGGGGGAGATAAGGAGATATGAGGGAATGGGAGGGAGGTGCGACTACACAAAGAGGAGGAAAGGGAAGAGGAAGACGAAGCCAAAGAGCCAAGCTCTTCGTGAAGTACCTGGAGCACCCCAATGGCTGTGGACCTTCTCTCATGCTAGGTCCTGGAAGCCTGGTAAGGGACTTGCAGGTCACCTTCATCCCTGTGAGCCTGTGAGTAGCACAGCAAAGCCAAGCAGATGCTGGCTCTTGAAACCAAGGCAGAAACTGGACAAAGAGACCAGTTTCCCCCAGTCGTGGTCAGGCTTTAGTTGGAGTTTCCTGCACCAAGGCTTGTTTTGCCTCCACTAACCAAACGTGAGCAGCTTCCAAGATCAACCCTAGCTCAGGAGCAAGAGAACCCCACCCTTCTCCCTCAAAAAAAAACCCTCAACTCCCTCAAAACCTGTTGGGAAAGTGTGATTTCCCCAATGTTTGCTTTCCTCCAGGATGCAGAGCTGGAAGGGGACTGGCCCCAGGCCAGTTCTTGGATGCTTGGCTTCACCAAGATCTCACTGTTTTCTCTTGGGTTATAAACAGGCAGCTCCCATCCCCTGGTCACCAACAACTTTATGAAGCTCTTTGCAATTTTCCCCTCTTTTCTTTTTAACAGCAGTAACTTCTCCCCGCCACGCAGCAGCAAATAAAAATTTAATATATAGCAGAAAAATACAAGGAAAACATGACATTCCTTGGGAACAGAGGGCCTTTTTTTTAATTGAGGTTACATACATACAAGGGGGAGGGAAGGATGTGGAGGGCAAGACAGATTTCTACAGTATCTTTGGGGTGCTGATGGGTACCCAGCCTGGAAAATGTCAAAGGATTTAAGGAAGGGCTTTACAGACAGACGATGGGATGATGGACAGCCTGACACAGCAGACAGTTTGACTGGGGAGCGATGGGAGCGAGTGGATCGTGGACCAACACATCAAGCCCTTTGAGCAAACTCTTACTAACAGGAAATAATTAGCAAAAAAAAAAAAAAAAGTTATTGACTGATCGGCCTACTTTAGATCATTTGCACGGGGTGGGGTTTTTTCCCCCACTTTTGCAGTCTTTAAAACTGAAGACTTTTACCTAGAAGCGCTGATTTTTTTTCTCTTTCACAAACAATGTCTCAACTCTTCCCCAAACCCCTTCTCTGCTCCGAGCACTTACAAAGCCATTTCTCCCCGGTGTTATCTCTGGTGTTCGATGGGATTTGACCCCTCCTTGAAACCCTCTGCACACTGGGAGCACTGGAGTGAGTCCTTCCCCACCGTCATCCCAAAATGCGAGTTGGGCTGGAAGCTTCTCCCACATTTCTGGCACTTGCAAAGCCCTCTGTGCACCCGCTGATGCACGATGAGGTTGGATCTCCGGCTGAAGCTCTTCCCACAGACCGGGCAGGGGTAGGGCTTCTCCCCGGTGTGGGTCCGCTGGTGGGCGATGAGGTCCGAGCTCTGCCCGAAGCTCTTCTCGCACTCATGGCACTTGTAGGGCTTCTCGCCGGCGTGCAGCCGCTGATGCCGCACGAGGCTGGATCTGTTGCTGAAGAACTTTCTGCACTGGGAGCACTGGTAGGGCTTCTCGCCCGTATGGAAACGCTGATGTGCGATGAGGTCCCCGCTCTGCCCGAAGCTTTTCCCGCACTCGCTGCATTCGTATGGCTTGATCCCCGTGTGCAGCCTCTCGTGCCTGAAGAGGGTTGACCTCCCCCTGAAGAACTTCTCACACTCGGAGCAGTGGTAGGGCTTCTCCCCGGTGTGGGTCCGCTGGTGGACGATAAGCTCTGAGCTTTGCCCGAATCGCTTCCCGCACTCTTCACACTTATACGGCTTCTCCCCCGTGTGCATCCTCTGGTGTCGGAAAAGATTTGAGCGGTGGCTGAAGCTCTTCCCGCACTCGGGGCACTCGAAGGGTTTCTCCCCCGTGTGTGTCCGCTGATGGACGATGATGTCCGAGCTGCGGGTGAACCTCTTCCCGCACTCATGGCACTTGTAGGGCTTCTCTCCCGTGTGCACCGTCTCATGCCTGATGAGGGTGGACCTGTCCTTGAAGCACTTCTCGCACGTCGAGCACTGGTAGAGCTTCTCCTCCACGTGGATCCTCTGGTGGAGGTTGAGCTCCGAGCTCTGCCCGAACTCCTCCCCGCACTCGTAGCACTTGTAGCGACGCTCTCCCACGTGCCGCCGCTGATGCTGGAGGAACTTGGCTCTTTCCCTGAAGTGTTTCCCACACTCGGGACACTGGTAGAGTTCTTCTCCTACATGCGCCTTCTCGTGGACAAGAAGCCTCGACTGGTGAATGAAGCTTTTCCCACACTGCTGGCATTTAAAAGGTTTTTCTCCTATGTGGACCCTCTTGTGCCTGATGAGCAGTGACCTGTCCGGGAAGCGCTTCTGGCACTTGGGGCACTCGTAGAGCTTTTCTCCCGTGTGAGTCTTCTGGTGGACAATGAGGTTCGAGCTCTGCCTGAAGCACTTCCCACACTCGTGGCATTTGTAAGGTTTCTCTCCGGTATGGATCCGCCGGTGCACGATAAGGTTGGAGCTCTGTCCGAAGCTCCTTCCACACTCGTTGCACATGTACTTCTTCTCTCTGGCGGCAGTTCTGTACTGGGCTTTGGATTCTTTGAGGACCTTTTGGTTTCCTCTGTGACGGATGAGTTTATCCCCTTCCGGCCCCGTTTTGCTCTCAGGGGCTGCCTCCTGCCCAGGGCTCTCCAAAACGTTTCCTTCCCGTTTTGCCGCTGCAACTCCGTGCCCTCTCCCTCGCTCAGCCCTTTCTCGCGTCAGGTCTGGCTCTTCCTCCGTTCTTCTGGCGGCGCATCCTGCTGCGGGTCGCAAACAAGAGCAACGTCTTTATTTCTCGAAGGGAAACCACGTCACGGTGGGGGATGGTGGATAAAAGCACAGGCGAGGCAAGAGCAGAACCCCTTCGCCCTCAACCCCAGTCGCTTGAGGGAGGGTGAAAGCAGGGAGGGAGGGGTGCGGGGGTGGGTGCAGGGGGCTCGGGTGGTCCTTCCACAGGCATAAGCTCCTAACCTGCAAGAGGGTCTCCCGGGGTCTCCCCTTCTTTCCCCCCCGGAGGATCAGGGTCCGGCAGCTCTTCAGCTCGCTCCATCCAAGGTGGTTTCAGGAAAGGGAACCCCTGCTCCAAGGGCTGAAACGAGCAGAGACCCCCCCCAAGTCCCCCAGGGTGTCACCCACAGGGGCTGCGCTGGCAGCAAGCACCCAGCAAGCCTCAGCCTTGCACCCAGGCATGGTGGGCAGATCCCCCCGTGGTCCCTGGTACTGACCCCCC